AATCTTAAGAGTTCCTTTTACCCTTCCCTGTAGTTAATGATTACAATAGTAGATTTAACTAAAACAGAAAATTAAAGGTTAATATCATGCTAAATGTCGTTATATATATAGCAACAATAATGTAGTTTAAGAATATTTCATTTATACATTTATATCCAATTGATATACCCATGTATTACTATTTTTCCTACTTGATATTACATAAATAAAAAAATAAAATAAAAAATTCTATGTTGGAAAATTTTCCAATCAAAAAATAGCCAGTTCGACCAATAACAAATAAATTTGGCTTGCCGATGAATTGTCATATTGCAATAAGTCATCAATATTTAGTGTACAAAGCAAATTACTTATCAGCATTTAAAAATCTTTTTTGCTCTTATTATTTTCAAGAATAATTTTTATCATAAGATATCAAATATTAATTTTGTAAGTGGCAAAATTAATTAAACAAATTTTTTTAATTATTTCATAACAATAACATTTTAATTTTCCATATCAAACAAATTCAATTATAAAATGCGCCTACGTATGGTGTTTTGCACCTATATATTATATGGTTTTTCTAAGTTTTGTATATAAAAGTTTTACCACAATTTTTTGCATTAGGGTTGGTACTTATAGTTAGGATTGGGATTTAGGAAAGGTTTTCGGGACGTAACCCATTTTTACTTTGAACACCTCACGATTAATTAGCTGGTTTTTGAGATAATGCATAGGTGTAAAACACTAGGTGCGTTTTACATACGTAGTAATTTTCATAAAAAAATTTTTTTTTTTTACTTATGCAAAAAAAGACACGTGATTATACATTCAATTAAAAAAAAATTAAGATTTATTAAAATTGGCATAACCGAACAACTAATTTTATATGCCTTGCATAAATTTGTTTAAAATACTTGATACGTACTTCGAAAATCTTTTTATTTTCTAATTTTTCATGAAGTAAAGTACAGGTGACGCTATTAATAACATTGATTATTAATCAATTTAGAAGATACGAATAGCAAAAATTTTCTAATCGACTAATTGGTTAACTCTATAATCACATCGTTTATTGTTAGAAAAAATTTTTTTTCTAAGTTTATTAATAATCATTCAACGATTACATATTGCTTCAAAAATTTAAATAATCAATTTTCAATTCGTGTTATTAGCTAATACGCTTTAAATACACATATTATGATAACATCAGGGCTAAGTCGACGAAGTAAAAATCAAAAAGCCTTTTCCCTTAGTGTCACTCAAATAAATATTTTCAATTCAGTAAGGTTTGAATCGCCTAGCTGCCTTAAGATCAGCAATTTTCCGTTTGTCATCTTCAAATTTCTTACGCAATTCAACGAGTTCTAGAATAACAAATGTTAACCAATTTTTTAGAATTGTTCATAAATAAATTCTACATATTATAATATGATAATTGTAATCTAAATAATTACTTTCACGTTTAGCTTCGCGCATTTGGAAGCGATAAAAATCTGTCAATTCCTTGTTTTTCGGTTTTAAATTTTTCATTACATCTGCTTTAGCTGCTGTCACTGTAATAGTACCATCAGTATTAATATTTCTTTTCCCGGTTCCTGTGACCAAGATAAATCCATCTTCATCGGGTTGATTACGTCTTGCTTCTAGAGCTTTATGCTTTTCTTTCTCTGCTTCTTCAAATTTACGTATGTACTCATCAACTTGTGCACTAAGTTTGTTGGGATCCATGCGAAGTTTTTGATATTCTTGTAACCATCCTATTTACTTATAAGTTAGAAATTTCCTATGATAAATGAATCAATATGATTATTATTATTATTTAAAAAAAAATAATAATTTACTCTTCAGACCCAACGGGGGAATATCCTGTCTTTCAACGTTCCATATCCTTTTTTTTTGTTTCATATTAAGAGCATTGGTTAATCCTTCGGAATCTTTAAATACTATATGCGCTGTTGAGCCAGGCATCAGTATATTCCTCGATCCTTCTAAGACTGAACTTTCAACTGTTTCATTAAATTTATGTCTTTGCTTTTTCTTAGATTTTTTTCCTTGCGTTTTATTCTCTCTTGGAATTGATTTATCATCGTTGTCAGCATTGATCACACTCGCTGAAAATTCATTATCCATTAATATTCCATGAAATAAAATTCGGTCAATTATGCCACATTCTTCAAATATATGCTTAATATGATGTTCCGTTGTGTCTACTGGTAAATTTGTAATGAAGAGTGTTCTTTCTGCTGGGAGAATTGTCGAATTATCGCGAATATTTATTCGTGAGTCGTGACCTTTAAAATAGCAATAATGAATTGAAACAAGTGGATTACGTTTAATTGATAAAGAATTTGCGGATAAATTGATTTGATCAGAATTTGATTCAATTTCAATGGGAAGGATTTTGAAACCAGTTTTATGAATTTCCTCTAATGTATACATGGGTGTCGAAAATATTTGCTCTGGTGTAAATTTTAAATGGCGAAAATGATTTTTAACAATCAAAATTGTAAATGTGATCTCCAGTGATAATTTTAGTGACACTACAAAATGTCTGCCGGCTTTTACAGTCAGACCTCTCTATAGTCACCTCCTCTATAGTCACATTTGCTTATAATCATATAAAATTTTAAAACCAACTTATATGACACTTATAAAATTTAACCTCTATATAAGCACAAACTCTCTATAAGCACCAAATTCTTAAAACCAAGAGTGTGATTATAGAGAGGTTTGACTGTAATTAATAAAAAAATTTATAAATAAAATTAGTTATTTATTATAGTAAAATTTTGAACTTTATACTTATTATTTTAAAAAAATATATTCACATATATGATAAGTTTTTAAACTTAGAATATAAAACTATATAATAAAATTAACTTATAGATTTATGTAAATTAACCAATCAAATTATAGAATTTTGTACTATCTAATCAAATTTTATATTTTTTTTTAGTATTAAGATGACTTTTTTGATCTTTTATCTTTTATTAATAATTTTTTTAATAATATGATTTTATGAATCACTATAAGAAGAATGTACAATTGGCTACATGTGTAACTTTTTATACTTATTTAAAGAGTCTGTTCAAAGGTTTCTTACTAATTATTATATTTAATATTTTTGCTTGGATGTTTTATTTTAAATCTTTTGTATTTGTATCTGTATTAACATTACTGAGTCATAATCAGATCATTAGAATTATTTTATTTTTAAGATAAATTTTCTAAAGCCTTCTGTACTTATTTTTACAGTTAATCTAGTATTGCTATAGTAGAACCAATACTTGCAATTAGGATTAGTCATTAAACTGTTGTGATCTTGTAAAGTTTACTCAAATTTTAGTAGTTATTTTATAACATATTTAAATTATTTTAATATATCTCTGCTTATTTTTCAGACTTCTAATTCAAATAGTCTAGTAGAATTATAATTAGTTTATTAATATATATATATATATATATATATATTTAATCTTTGGCAGCCTTGCCAATCATCTTTATTAAGAGTCTTATATACATAATTTTGTACAAAGTTAGTTTAAATTCTGGCTCAACATTCTTCGACTGTTTCTATAAGTGTCTAGAAGCAGTCTGTCACACTGGCCAGATATTAATCTAGCCAGAGGGCTATATCAAGCTAGTTATTAGAACTATAAAAAAATGGTCTTATCTTTCTTTCTATATAATCCTTGACCGAACCTAATCAAGAACTTTGTATTTTATTTTTTATTTTTTTTCTTTTACAGCTCAGTCTTGATTTTTTTCTAAAACTCTTTTATCTACTTTTTTTATTAAATTTTTTACTGTATCACTTCTTGGAATGTCTTCTTTCTTTTTTTGTTTGCAGGACTAATTCTGTTTGCTTTTTTCTAATTAGTAACTGCTTCATAGTATTTTTTTTATATATTTTTAAAGAAACCATTCCATGCTGTATTTGTCTATATTGTTATAAACTCCTTAGCTTTTTTGAAAGTTTGAGTTTATTAATATATTAAATTAGTTTGATATTTTTTTCTTACAGTTTGTTTTAACAGTCTAATTGATAACACCTTCTATTTAAAGATTCTTATCTGTTTAGGAACTTTAATATTGGTATTTATTTCTAAGTTTAGTCTTTACAATAATATTATTAAAGATCTATACTATCTTTCTATTTGGATTTTTTTAAATAAACTTCTTGTTTTTTAATTTCAACAGATTTATATAATTACAAGAATTTAATTAGAGTTTGCATTGTCTAATGCTGATTTGTATTTCTTTATATAATGCTATATTTATACAAATGTCTTATAATCTGTTAGTTATACTAATGCAACTGTCATTACAGATATTTTAACCTAATTATTGAAAATAGTTGCTATAATATAAGTATATATTATATAGATAATTATTCAAATTTTTTATTATCAATAAAATTTAAACATCCAACCTACTAATTGGAAGATTGACAACTTATTTACTTTATTAAGTTATCTATTCTCTAGACAAAGTTTATAACTTAATAAGTTTTTAATAAATTTTAATAATTTTGCTATTATTAGAATTAAAAAAAACTTATTTCATAAAAAGTGTAATAATTTAGTAAAGTAATCAAATTGTCAACTTTCAAGTAACAAATCTAAAGTTCAAATCTCATAGATAATAAATTTTAAAAAAAATTATATTATATTATAATAACTAACTCTGTTAATTAGTTTAATTAGTATATTTGTACCTTTAGTTATACTATTTCAAATAAAAGCTTAAAGCATCTATGTGAAATGTAATATTATATATACATAGAAAAATGTTATAACTAGTATTACATAAGACTTTGGTACAAATCTATTATAAAACTACTAAGTACAAAAAGTAAAGAAACCAAGAAGTTAGAAGTCTACTTGAAAATTCTGAGTAAAGAGATAGCATAAACTTTTAATAATACTGTTGAACTAATAAAAGCATTTAAATATCTTTAGTAGAAATAGACAGATAAATTATATAATAAGATATATAAAAGAGTATATAACTAACTAAACTATCAAAATTATTAAAAAAAAGATCTAAGATATATTCTGAATTAAAAGTTTAAAAATTTCTGTTAGTTCTTAGCTGCAGTTAGTAGAGAATAATAGAAAAAAATTAGCAAGATAGATATTAGTGTTTGGATAAATCTTACAAGAGTATAGCAGTTTAATAGTTAGTTCTAACTATAAGTGTTAGTTTAGATCAAAGTAATATTAAATTAGTTATAAGTATAAAATACAAAAAGCTCTGATAGGTTTAGTACAAAGTTAAATATAACTTAGTAATCATGACATATTTTTACTAGTTTATTAGAATCATTGATAAAATAGAGTAAATACAAGATCAAAGTGTTAAATAAAAAATCTATGAATAGATTCTAGATATAGTAACTAAAATAAAATCTTTAGGCTAACTACTTAAATTAGACAATAACTAAAGATGTATAAATGGCTAGTTGTATACTTTTTTTATAATTGCTTTATGTTTGTTATATAACAAATGCTAGCCAATAAAGAAACACAAACCAGTACCGGGCAGTGTGAACCCAAGATAAGTTCTTAGACTGTATAAATCATAGGAACCAGGTAGAAGGATGAAAGCCCACTTGGAAGATCCAAGTAGAGAGGTAACCCAAACTTTTGATGGTGCTACTGTAAAGACTAGACCTATAAAACAAAGCTAAAACTTGTGAAACCTGGCAAAGAGCCAGCCTTTGAGGAGGGGCTGAATGAAACCAACCAGGCTGCCAGAATTTCTGAGTTCCAAAGAAAAAGATTACATGCTAACAAACATGTAAACCAAAGGTGTATAGTTATGATCTGCCTTTTCAGACTATCTGGTTTGAAAGCTTGATAGAATTTGAATTGAATACCAAAGTAGTAGGGATATGTTGTAAAGTCAGTACTAGGGTTGGAGTAAACTCTACAAGGGTATAGTGGTTAAATGGTACACCCTGACCACCAGTGTTGGTCTCAGCCATAGTAATATCAGGTCAGCTGT